CTTTCACCCAATTACCTAATTCATTATAATTAAAAAATTGATTAAATTAAATTTATTTTTTTTCCAAAATTGTCCATGATATTAACAAGATCTTTTCTTTATCAATTACTTAAAATAATTTTAATTAAAATAGTTAAAAAAAATATGTACGTAACTCTGCTTTTTAATTAATTTGACGTAGAAATAAGAAATTATAATGTTTTATTTTCGCATTTATACGAGTTAAGCTCAGAAAACGTGAAATCAAACACACTATAATATTTTAGTAACTCTCCTCTTGTGTAATATATAAATAATCTAGGCCATGGCATTGTCATTCGTCTCCCTTTTAAAAACAGTTTGGGAGGTTAGTGCGTCATTGGAGCGTAGCTCGATAAATATATACAACCCAAAATAATGTTGAGATACGCTTATTTGCAAATTTTAATAGTTATTTACATAATAAGCAAGTACTCTCTAGCCATTAATCTATTTCCTATTTGTTCCATCCAAAAAATATATATATTTCCCATTTGACTTCGTAGTCTAAATAAAGAAAATGATAACAATAACAATAAGAGTAATATTTTAGCCGACCAACCACATATTATGATGATGGTGATGATGAACTACGTGTCTAAATAGATTAGATTAGAGGGAAAGAAGAAACAGATAAAAGAAGAATAACAATATGACAGGTAACATAATCAAAAATAAAAAATAAAAAAATAAAAGCATAAATAGGACGAAAGAGAAGTTAGCATTATAATTTTTGTGTTGTAGTATTATAATATGTATGACATGTATTTTGTATTAAATTGAGAAAATATGTAACATGTCTGCTTCAAGCTTACACCACAACCTGTCTCCATGGTGCCTCTCTTCTCCACTCCTTACTATATTCCCTCTGTTCTTCTTTTGAGACAATTTCTATCTTCCATGATCAAGGGAAGCTTTTATCTATCTTTCCTGCAAAGTAAACATCTTTTTGGATTTCCATTCTTCACTTGTTTTTTCTCTTTGGTTTGGTGGGTTCCTCACTGAACATGGCAACTGAACCTCAAGACTCTTCCAAGGGTCACAGTGGCCAAGGCCATGCCACCACTCAAAATAGAGATGATGTCCCAATTCAAAAGGTCCCTCACTTGTCTCTTTTCTTTTATGACACTTTTGTATGGTTGTTTTCTTGACTTGAAGCTTGTGTTATGGTTCTGAGTGTTCTGTTTCTGCCTTTTCTTTATGTATCATTGAGCATAACCTTTCCGTGTCAGGTGTTCATGCATCACTAGTTAGTTTTGAAGCCTTTTCATCTTTGGTTTTTGGATGTATGCCAACATACTTGTATGTGTTATGTGAATAAACATGAAATATTATTGGTCATTTGAATTTATAGAAGAGATAGGAAATTGTGTTTTAGTGAAGGTTGGGGATTTGGTTTTGCAAATTTCCCAAGCAGAAATTTAGATTTTTGAGTTTTGAATTTGAACACAGCAGAGAAGATACAGCAAGCTATGAAAAATTTCCCAAGCAGAAATTTAGTTTTTCCAAGTTCTCAATTGTTTAACTTGTATTTTCCAGTTGAAAAATAGTTATTTCTCACAAATTTCCTCAAAAAGTTGTATGATCCTCAAATTATCTTTGCAAGAGTCGTTTCTCTTCAAATTTATGTATTGTGAAGTGTCATTTGTTCTAAAAACACGTTTTGAAAAATTGGTTATTCTCACCTTGTTAAGAATCAAAGTTTCAATTGCTAATCACTTATTGGTAGAGCGTACCCAATATCTTCCAAAGAATTTCAAATAGTTTAGTGCTTGCGACTACCATGACTTGTAAGTTGTAACCATTTTCAGATTTGAGGTTTGTGAAAGCTTCTACAATTTTAATGAATACCAACTGCTTGATGAATTGTATGGTTCTGCCTTAAATAGCCCTCTTGTGAAGTTACACAAGTTATAAGATTATCATAATTCAGATTACTTTGATGCCAATCTACTCTATCCCTATACTGGCAATGACATATGTATAACTATAAGCACTTCATCATAAGAAGGGGAAATCTGTCAACGACGTAGGTATTGGTTGAAAATTTTAAATTGAAAACCAACTTTCAACTACAGTATCCTCCTACTAAAACTACACGTTTCTGGTATATTTGTGTATCAAGTATAAGATTTATTACTTTGCAGCTCAATGAGTAAATATTTTTCTTTTCTACTCTTCTGCTTCTTTATACATAGGGTCCAGCATCATCTGAAATAATAGAGGAACTCCCAAGTGGACAACATGGGACAAGGCAAAACCTTATTTTGGAGATACCTACAATAGCTCAGGAGGAAACAAGAGAAGACTACGTGAGAATAAACATGCCTCTAACTCCACCTCCAAGAAGAGTGATCTTTTCCCCCTGTCCAAGTCCAGTTTTCCCCAGAAGCAAAGAATCCCCAGGTCCCTCCACATCGAAAAATAGAACAAATATTAAAACCTTTCTTCCTAAACTCAGTGTTAAATTTCGCAACACAAGTTCAGAGATTGAAAAGGCTGCCTTCCTAGCACTTGAAGGAGCAGCCATAGCAGCACCGAAAAAGCCTTTTCTTTCAAGGACATTATCTCTTGTCACACCTAGAGGGAAGAAAACATCATCCTTACCTGTAACTCCAATTGCTCATTCAAATCCAGGGTCCGTACATGGAGGAAACATGGTTTACACAGCAACAGATGTTGTGAGTAGCTTGACAACTAATGAAATATGTACATTGTAATTATTATATTTAGTTATTTGGCATATAATGACAAGAGATGGTTAAAATCATTGTGGAAAAAACCCTTTCTCGGAATGTTTCTAGTGATGCTTTGTATTCATGTAACTGATTTCTTATATGACTGCATGTCTCTAAAACTGTCAGTTATTTTCTTGGTTGTTGAATAGATTACTAAACTTGAATATGCCAAACAGATGTAAGCGTGCCATCATTGTAGAAATTGTTCTTTCAGCAATGGTTTTGCTTCACATTATCAATTTCAAAATTTTCCTAACATATTACTTTAGATTTAATGCAACTGACCCTTATGTTTGAATCGGTCAGTCATATCCTAGCATCATCATAAACGGATTCTTTAGAATCCATTAAAACCTATTTGTACACTTTACATATTTCACGCACATAGCAATGAGCACTGACACCTGCTTCCCTTTTATTTTAATTAACATTTTGAATGATAGTTTTGCTTTTATTGTGGTGGAGTTGACTCAGCCGATTTGTTTGCTTCCACTAGTCAACTAGTGAAGAAATCATGATTGGGTAATGGTAAGCATGGCATCAAAAATTTCAAGATTAGTATGGGTTTCACTAACATCAGGTTAACATAAATCATATAGTCCAATGCATTAAGTGGTTTTCTTCAAAAGATGCATCTTTTCAATTTTTGGTTCATCAATGCTATATATCCCCTTCTTCAATTTACTCTGAACTCTGTAACACTGCAGCTTGATATGTTAAAGCTATAAAATAAAAGTTCCACATTATGTTCCAAATCATCATTAGACATTGTTATCTCTAAGATAATTTGGTACTCACTCATATGATTACATCTGATATATACCTCATTTTACAGGAGAAAGATCTGAAATTACCAATTCATCGTTCCCGTTCAGTACCTGTGCTTAACAAAGAAGGTAACTCACCTGTACGTGGCATGTTTCGTATAGTTCCTACCGCACCACGAGTGGATGAGAAAATTGCCACAACACCAGTGACATCACCTATTCATGACACTGGTAATATTTCTTTTTCATAATTGTTTTATGAAAGATACATTAATCTTAGAATCTTCAACAATGTCTTATCTTGGCTAAACTAAACTAATGCTACACCGAGATGGACTGAATTTTGTTGGTTATATTCATTACGAGTTATGACTATCAACTGACAAGTGACAACTGCAAATGCTTGTTATGCTCAGTTTCAACTTTCAAGTAATTCAAAGATGAGAAAGGCTAACAATACATTATTTACAAACTATATTATTGGGTGATTTTCATATGGTTCTCACCAAAAAGAGAGAGGCCTATGTTTTCATTGGGACTCGCAAAATTCCCCCAATAACTGTGTATTGCTATCATTGTTCTTTAAAGATTTAAGTATGCTTGAATCACTTATTAAAATACAAAATATAATTTGATTTATATATATATATATATTACACAATAATTTTTTATGTTTGATTATTCTACAAAATAGACCCTAAACTGAAGTTATTTTACTGACTCAACTGTTAGGAACTGTTACATTACATGTTTCCTTACCAAAAATGTAAGTGAATTCAACTAAGCCAGATTCATCTTCACCAAGCTCATAACTCTCCTGCTAATTTATCATATTCTTTCCTTCTTTATTAGTTTTTATTTATTTTTCTTTTCCTTTCTCATCCTACTGAATCTCCTTCTTCAGGCTGTCTTGACATTTTCAGTTATGTTTCATATATTGAGTTCTATCCCATATTTGAGTATTCTTTTTGCCTGCACAAACATATTTTCCAGGGATAACTAATGGCTTTGATATGATAGTATTGCTAATTTCCAAATCTGAAGATATCAGTTATTGGCTTGGACCTCTAGATTAAGTTCTTTCAATCACAAATTTATGCATCTGAGTATTTTGGTTCAGTTGAAAATGAGGATGGTGGTGAGGATATTCCCGAAGAAGAAGCTGTTTGTAGAATTTGTCTGGTTGAACTGGGAGAAGGTGCTGATACTTTTAAATTGGAGTGCAGCTGCAAAGGGGAGCTTTCATTGGCACACAAAGAATGTGCAATCAAATGGTTTACCATTAAAGGTAATAGAACATGTGATGTGTGCAAGCAAGAAGTTCAGAACCTACCTGTCACTCTTTTACGAGTTCAAAATGGTCGGAACATTCTTGGGGGCGGAGGTCAACAAGCTGATTCTCAATACAGGTAAGATCAAACTAAATTGATGTACTTGAATTTATTATTACTTTTTGTTTTTTTGGTTGAGGGTGGCTTTCTAGACCATTTAATATTTAGTTTTATGGCTCAGCAATGTAGACCTAGTTTCATTGACAAGCTTCACTGATAGACTATAATCATAATTATTAGTGATTGTTTGGTACACTGATAGATTATATTTATACATCAATTTGATTTGAGAAAGGTCTCTAATTTGCCTTGACTTGCAAGACACGTATAAATTCATGTCAATTTTATTGGTATCATAGTTCTTTTGGGATTTAAAGAAAGCCTAACGTTTTTGAGCCCTTCTCAGACCTGGATATATTTCAGTATTGTTTTCCAATATGGTACAATAGAACAGAACTTATGCAAATCTTTTATAGGGTTTGGCAGGATGCTCCCATTCTTGTTGTTATCAACATGCTGGCTTACTTTTGTTTTCTTGAGCAGCTTCTTGTAAGTTTAACTACTCTTTAGATAGTATTTCCTTTAGCCTGTGCGAATTCCTGATGTTATAGATGAACAGGTTTCTAATATGGGATCTGGTGCTATTGCCATGTCTCTGCCATTTTCTTGTATATTGGGTCTTCTAGCAAGCATGACAGCTACAACAATGGGTAAAGCTTTTTCTACTCTTAGACAACTCTGTGTACTTGAATTCATCCTTTGGTTTGGTATTATATAATATACAACTAATTCCTCCAAAATTTTCTTAGTGAGGAGAAATCATGTTTGGGTTTATGCAACTGTTCAGTTTTGTCTGGTGGTTCTCGCTGGACATCTTTTCTTCTCATTGGTAAGAAATTGTTTTTTGTAACCATAGTTACAGGGCATTTTGTGCTTTTTGTTAATGTTTTGCAAATAACAAACAGACATTCTCTGAGATCCAGTGTTATGAGTGTTGTATCGAGTAGAATAGAGAACTCAATGCAATACTTATGCAATAAGATTAAGCTGTCTCATCTAATAAATTAATCTTTTGGGTTGAGTTTTTCTCATGTACTTGAGCCATAGTAACAATTGGTGCTTTCATTAAGAGTTAAGTTGTAAAAAGAGTTACCTATATATAATATAATACTTAAGTCATAAGGCTTTCTCACCTAAGAGCTATACTTATGTCATAACATGCGGCTAAGTAGATAATCTTCTTCCCTTTTTCACCCCAATTTCTCTCTCAAGTCCTCTTGCCTCTGGAAATTCTCAAGGCTATTTGCATTCAAACAAAGATCAGGTTATTGTTAGCAAAATTTTTGTTAAAGGCATAGAGCCATGATTCAGTGAGCTAAAAGCTGATTAATCAAATGTATTTATAATTGGCATTGTTGTGGATTTCAATATGTTGAGCTTCAATTGTAATCATAGATTATAGAACATTAGTTAAAATTTGCAAATTCAAAATATTTCTGGTATCATGTATTTTCATACATTTATTTGGGACGGCAGGTTCATATGCAAGCTGTTCTAGCTATCCTGCTAGCTACATTTACTGGGTTTGGAGTTGTAATGTGTGGAGCTTCTATTCTTATGGAGATTTTGAAGTGGAGGAGATCAAGATCACTTGCTCAGTCGAGTCAAGAACAGCATGGTTCCCAAGAGGCAGTACCACCTGATCAAACATCCACAGTTGCTCATCAAGCTCAGGTTGGTTCAGAACAAACTGAAAGTAATTTGGGAGAGTCTCCTGGACAGAGGAGTTGACAGAATTTTGGCTTAAATATGTTTTGGTCTCTCAAATATGACCTTTTATTAGTCACTATTTAAATTTTAATCAGTTTTAGTCCCTACATTTAATAAAAAAAAACAACTTTTCAGTCCCTCACATCAAGTATTAAAAGCATATGATTTTTAAAGCAAAATATTAAATAATTAGAGATTAATTAAAAAAAAAGGCTGTATTTTCAGGATAAAAATGTATTTAAGCTATTGGGTGAAAGCTGGCATCATAAAGGTATCTGGCTGTATATAATGTACATGTTGTATAGACAAGTTTGGGCACATTAGACTCTTGTTCTCCTTTCTGATGCCATGAGCCCATGATACATGCAGGAATAGAGATGCATTGTTGGCTTAAAAAAAATAATTGTTAGGCCACTTTTGTATGAAACACTTGAGTCAAAAGTTGAAGAAAGGTGGTTTTTATACTACAATAACGGTTGAAGTGATGAACTTCACATTCCAATTTAGGTCATTCATGTGATTGATAATATTTTGTTGGTAGTGCCATTCTGTAATTTGTCCTTTGAAATGTCATTCTGTATAATTTTAGCCGATATAGAACACTCTTAAAATACAACCAAAAGCTAACTTTTCACTCTGTTGAATAAATCAATTCGTTTTGGATTAAAGCAACTCCGAAGCCGTTAATATATTTTCAATTGAGCCTTTCACATTATAGTAAGAGAAATATTGGAGTGAGGAATGCAACTGAGAAATGAATCGTCATTACAAAATTTGAACCAAATATTCATTAACCATTAATATAACTAACATAAAAAGAACAAGAATAAAGAAATAAAATCAAAATGATTTTGAAAAATTAAATTTTATAAGATTTAATAGTAGTAAAAGGATATCCTAAAAAAGATTTTTTTTTTTTTTTTAAGTAATAGAGTGAGAACCTTGTCTGAAGTATAATGTAGCAAACAAAATTTCATGATTGTATCATGGTGTAGCTAGTGGGGTGGGTGAACTCCCTATCACACGTGAGATTGAACATTTAGAATAAGAAAATAGCACATCTATAAAGTACTTGCCATTTGCTATAAACTTTGACTTTGATGGAGGAAATGATCGATATAAGAGAAATGAAAAACAAAGAAAACGATGCAATATATTTTTTATTTAAAGAAAAGGGTATCATGCACGTTCTCTTTCAATGAGTTTATCATTGCTAAAAATAACACTTTGTCTTGCCTCATCATCCATTACATACATATATGCAAGAAAATCAAATTCAAATCAAGTAATAATAAGAACAATACGAAGAATCATTAATGGCAAGAAATAATAACTCTAGACTTTGGATTGTATGATCTTTTATAGTGCCCCAGAATTTCTTTATTTATCATTCTCAGTGGACAAGACACACGTGGCCTTTCCTTAGAAGATTTTAACCTTTCGTAAGGTATTTTTTATTTCATGCCTATATATTCCACGTGCTAATTTTTTTTAAGTAAAATCTTAAATTTGAGTCTTATAAATAAATTAAAAAAGTGATTGAAAAGTCATATTAATGACCAATCAGATTTTTCAATAAAAAATAATTATCGATAAGAAATTAATGGATATTTCATATCAATAATATAATTGTAAAAAAAAAGTATTTATTATCCTATTAAATTTTTATAAAGAACAAAATAAAATTTTAGAATATTTTGAGAAAGACAAAACATATTTTAACTAATATTAAATTATAAAATCAATAGAATGAGTAAAATGTTTAGTTAAAAATATTAAATTGTGTACGTACCAAAATAATTATAGTATATATTCATACAATCACATTACAAGTTCATTCCAAGTTCATATTGTGTCATCCAATTATAATGTTAATATAAAAATATACATTATATATGTTGTCAATTTAATATAAAAAGATATAAATTTTATATTTAGTCTCAAACAAAATGTTTTAGCTCCACCCTCAACAAAGATGGTCAAAAGGAGAGCTAGTGATCAAAGGTCGCTTATGATGACACATAGGCATGGCAACGGGGCGGGGCGGGTACGGGTTTGATGAGATTTCGAGTGACCTACGAAAAGTATACTCGAGTATTTCCTGATTTTTCTTGTATTTTGAGAGGTTGCGAGGCTGTGAGCCTTTTTCATGAGCAGCAACTTTCACGGTTTAAGGATTTCGAGAGTTTCACGAAAAACGTCTTCGCGTATCTCTTAATTCTCTTCTTGATTCTCCTCAGGCTTCGTATGTCTCCTCTTCAGAAACTTCTTTTCCATTTTCCGATCACCTAAGATTTTGAGCACCCCTGTATTTCGAGTATCTCCGAATACATTTCTTGGTACTAACACATCCTTACAAGTTTTATAGTGAAATTGGGTAAAATTCTTCTTCCGGTGAAACTCGATATAATCTTCCTCACAATTTTTTTTGAGGGAGAGTGACTTTCTTTATATGTCAAGTGATTCTTTATTAATTTTAGAGTTTTTTTATTTATTGACTTTATATCTCAACTACCACATTTTTAATTTTAAACAATATTTTAAAGATTTCAAATTGAAAACTCAAATTATTTTTTCAATAATTTCTCTCTCGATTATTTTTCTCAAACTTTATCATCAGTTCTTATTATCACAACTGCTCGTCACAATCATGTTTTTACTCTATAATATTTTTTGTCTCTATTTTGCAAGTAGATGGACTTGTATTATCGTTAGCTATTGCAAACAAAATACGTTGTTTGACTTTCGTAATGTTAGTCAGACTTTTGTAATGACTCGATCGCTATGGTCACTACACTTCATGGAACTAATAACTAGCAGTATAAATGATAAAATAACTAAGGTTAACATTTAATAGTTTCCGGAAATAACAATTTATATATACATACATGTACACATCTATGATAAACATTATATATATATAAGAGGGATCCACTTACTCCAAGAATAAGTTTATTTAGATTTACTTCATTCAATAACTCATGTTTTACTTTAAATTTCAAAGATCCAACTATTGAATTAAAAGTTCTTAATGCATAGGCCAAGTTTGGAAATTTTTTTAAAAAAATTGAAAACTATTTGATATTCCATTATATTAATTCAAATTGATGAATAATCATAAAAATATTTTATATGTTGATTTGAATTATAATAAAACAGACTATCAAATAGTTTTCAATTTTTTTAAAACTTTGTAGATTTAACTTATACATTAAAAACTTTTAATTTAACTGTTGGATTGTTAAAAGTTTATATAAAACATGAGTTATTGAACAAAATAAGTCTACCATAGACTTACTCTAGAGTAAACGGATCTCTCCTCATATATGTGTGTGTGTGTGTGTGTGTATTTATGTATGTACGTATGAACTATACAACAATCCAAACGCTATAAAAGATTAACTCTAGATTGGCGATCAAGCAACATCTATACAAAACTCTTCAAAAAGTAGCATTGAGCTACACGTCATCAACATGGCTCCACAAGACATCATCAGCCTCTAGGTAACCCTGCCCTACTCCCATGAAAAACATGATTATTGCAATCCAATCACTAGAAAAAAAAATGTAAAGGTAAACTAGATTTCAAAAAATAAAGGATTAAACATATAACAAATATAGAAGAATACAACTATATTATGAACATGTAAAGCAACTAGTATACACCTCATGGTCTACATCATACAACATCAACATATCCATATGTTTGTGTGTACACACACACACACATATATCACAACCTTGCCAAACCATCATAAAATCAACGAGCATATGAACAGTATCAATCACATCACATCATATGCATACACCTCAACTAATATGTTATCACACATTCATTTATGAAGATTTCCTATAACACCTAAGAATTTTAAGTGACTTAATTATACTAAACTAACCTAATCATGTTCACGTCTTATGCGCTCGCTAGATCGACAACTAAATTAGGATACAAATCCCTATCCTTTGATTTCTTGAATCCCTATCCTTTGATTTCTCAAATGTCACCACTTAGACTAGGGAAGTCCAGCACCACGGTTAGGTATAATATAGCTTGAGTGTCAGTCTACCATGATCTTAGTATGCATAAATCAAGTCACTTATGGGATTAACTCACTAACTATCCTCACGATACCACACATCTCTCTAGTAATAGTTAAGGTTGGTAGCCCTCAACTTCATACCTTACTCCAACATTGACTAAAAACTTAGAATAGACTCAACAATCTACTCCAAGAGTTATCAACTACTCAAGAAGGATTTTCAACAAATGGTATCTCAAAACGCCACACCAATATCCATACTATCGAATATTCAGCTTATAAAACACCTTATTCGTTGGTCCTAAGTCAACTAACATGCTTTAATGCTTCTAACATTCTTATCATTAACACTTCAATAGGTCAATACACCATGTTTAAATGCCTAAAGCACTCTCAATATTCACCTTAATAACATTCATCTATATTCATTACCTCAAGTCAGTGGATACAGATCTAACAACATTCATAAAATTCATAGCATACCAATGCATCCCAACAATTTAATCACACAAGCATCTACATATATTATCCTAGATCAATATATATAGAACAAAACCACCAAGAAACATACAATATGAAATATATGCACCAATCATATACATGTTCACCAAATAATCACATAAACAACACATAAGTATTTTCAAGGCAATTCGCGCTCAACACTACACACCCTACACCTGGTGCCACTGCCCGACGCCATTCAACCCACGCCCAACGTGGCTAAGGTAGAGAAACCCCTGAGATCTCACGCAAGGGGTGGCAATATCCCATGCCCGATCTCATGTAAACTCGAGGCGATTTTCTTTTTTCACATTCAACACCACTCCTTTGGTTTCTGATACCAATCCAACCTGAGATAATTCCCTCACCTTATGTCTAGCGTCATTCAAACCATGTTTGACTCCACTTCAATCCAAGATAATTTTCTTTGTTCATGGTTGAAGCCACCAATCTTACGTCTGACATGAGCAAGACAAAAGTCCTTTATTAAAGGAAAACTCGATGGGACAATGAATTTTGTACTTGGCACATTCAAAATCTTGCCAAAGCCACCTAAAACTTAGACAATTCAAGCATACAATACAAGAATGTGTATTTAGACATCTTATTCAACTCAATTCCAACAAGAAACGACACATGAAACCATCATTTGGCTAAAATCACCAAGATCACCTCAACACACTCAATAAACAACACGACTTAAAAACCTTCCTCATTTAATTATAAATCAATTAACATAACAACATGTTGATGAGAACCAACCAACATGCAACCCAAACAATCCAACAAGAATCAAAGTTCTATCATCTCTTACCTCCAATTTGAAGAGAAACATAGAAGAAGGAGAACGAATCTCGAGCTTTGAGAAGCTTTGCGCAACACCCAAAAAGCTTGAATCAAAAGCCACTACAAATCAAAAATGATTTTCTAAGACTTTAGGGAGCCTAAAAAGAAGAGAGGAAGAATCAAAATTCCTAAGGCATTTCTCTCTAGTTTGTCTCTCTAGAAATATTAAGAATGAACTTATGAAATTGAATTCTCAAAATAAACCTTATATATTCCTTCTCTCAAGGTCAAACTGGACCTTTTTCCAGAGAAACCCTTTAAACACCTTACATCTCTCTAGGATTTCCTTAACTCCCTATAGTTAGTCAACCACACCTCAAGCACTACACATACAATTATTGATAAAAACAATAATAATAAAAAGGTATAGTGTTACAACTTTCAACATAGATCCACCATTAATTTCTTCAAGCTTTAATACTTGTGTGATTGGTCACCAAGCTACATGAAATAGGCTATGATACCACTGTTAAAAAAAATTATTTTCTTTTCTTTATGCACAACTATGAGAGAGCACACAAAAACACTATAAAAGAAATATGAAAAGATCATATAAAATTTATTTAACGTGGTTCGGTCTCTTATATCTATATTGATATTCATTATCTCAAAATATATTATAAATTTTCTTTTTGAAAATTCTCCTACGAGTTTTCTAGCATAACTTAAGAAACCTTCCTTACATGTTTCTAGTGAAACTTGATAAAAACCCTCTACACAAATTTTGTGGCAAAACTAGGTAAACCTTCATTTATATGATCCTCTTTAGTCCATTAAAGGTTGGTGATTTTTTTCATCTTAATAGTTTATATTTATTGATCTTACATTTTCATATTAAAATTAAAAAAAACCCTAAAATAACCACAATATTTTTAATTTTAAACAATATCTTAAAAATAAATAATATTATTTTATATCTAAATAATATTTTAAATATTTAAAACTAAAATTTTGAATTATTTTTCCAATCATACTACACTGTGAGCTAGTAAAGACATGACACTTAATAAATCACCTCATCATTTATTAACAATGTCACTTATGTTCACCGATGGTTGGAGACGTCACATATGTTCACCAATGGTTGGACTTATTTGATCAATAAAATGTATATTCACTAAATTTTTAAAAAATTTCTCTGTTTTAGAGACTGTCTTACTACTTGCTAGTGCCTCACATGTTGAGGAACAAATTTGATGGTTCGCTCAATGAATTTTGTTATGAAATTCACAGCTTGAAAAGAAATTCAATTAAACTCAATTATGTACCACACTCTTTCTTCATTTTTTGGTCTTTATGTTTAATATTAAGCTCACGCCACCCTTGTAGCATCTCGTGCCCAAGGTCGTGCCACACCAACATAAGTACTAATTGCCACACACAAATCTTGTAATTAATATTATGCCATGCTCACGCCACCCCTGTAGCATCTCTTTCCCAAGTTCATGCCACGTCAACATACGTGTTAATTGTCTCACACGTCCCACACTATGCCATGCTCACGCCACCCCTATAGCACCTTGTGACACCACAGCAGTGGTAAGAATGGTTCTACTTTCTGAACTATATAAACAATGATAAAGAATCAGAAAATAATAAATACTAGGATTTTAACAATGTGTAATTTATATATTAAATATTTATATAATTAAAACTTAAAATAAATTATATATATAAATAAATACTATATTTAAATATATAAATTATATGATAAATTTGAATAAATATATATTTTAGATTTAAGATAAATAATTTATATTATAGTACAATATTAGTTTTATTTATTAAAAATTTATTTTAAAATATTAAAAATAATTAATTTATAAATAATTATGATAAATAAAAATTAAATTAGGTATAAAGTTAAAAATATTCCTGAAAACCCTATGATTAAAAAAATTCTTAAAAATACTCTCGTAATAATTATTTATTTTATATATGTAGGTTGATTATTTTTAACTTTCGCGTGAAATATTTGAATTGTAATTCATTGAGGTCTAGCATGATAATTTAATAGATATATAAATAAAAATAACTAAATTTACGCATTAAAAAAATTAGTTAAATTTATTTAATTTAATTAATTTCATATAAAAACTAAACTTTACTTACTAAACTACCCTTAATAGTATTTTTTTGAAAATAGTTATCACATTTAACTTAAAAAGTATTTTTTGGAATAATAGCACTAAATAAAAAAAAATGGTTAGAATTTCCTTATATTTAAATAAAAAAAATTTAGGTACTAGTCCAGAGAGACTATAAAATACGTATATTTTAACTTTACGAAATTGAGCACAGAATTACAATTCTAAAGTATGACTAAAATTGGAATTGTCAATTCTATTTCGAAGTCAAATTCAAGGCACCAATCGCCACCCTAAAACTTGAGTGCTAATTCTACATATATCATTATATATTTTAGTTCTCTATTTTCAATCGTAGTACCCCTTATTTTAAATTGAATTACCCTTACGCCAATCAATATTAACCTAAAATTTAAATATTATGATTTTGCCTTGGCTATATCAAGAGCCAAGTAGATGTACAACAATAATGCAGAACATACATTCCTATCCTTCCCCCAGTAACATATCCACCCTTTAATCTAGAAGTGTCTTAGTGGGGTTTATAATATATAGCAGGTAGCCTCCAATGACTATAATTCTCTGAGAGACAAGAATTTCCCCGGCACACAAATCGCTCTCTCCCTAACTATGTATCTGTGACCCACGATGTTGATGTTATAGTTGAAAAACACCCACAATTAAAGTCAACAGAAAAATAATGGCAGGCACTCCAAAGTACGGTTTTCCAAGAACCAATTTCACATTATTCCTGTAATCAGACATATATTAATGACAGCCGTTTTTTACTTACAGTAAGAGGCCTGAGAGTATTTGCCTTCCCATCCCCACAGTGCCATCAATGGCATGCTCATCCCAGTATATACAACAGAACCAATTGGGTTTATCTTTTTACTAGAATCAAAATGTTAAAACTTGGTAATCAACTGGATAAAAAGATAAACCATATAAAAAACGATAATAATAGCTTTAACCCACTAAGTGAGGTCAACTACATGAATCACACGGCACCGATGGGCTCGATTAAAAACCAGAGGCCACTGAAGGCACCCGTGAGAAGTAAATCGCATGGTTCTTAGCCCTGTGAAAAGGGGTAGAGGGAGACTAAGAAGGACATTGAAAAAGAAATATTAAAAGGGTTTCAAAGTGAATACCCTTTCAAGTATTAGCAAGATTTTAGTCATTGTCTATGGCTAGAATTGCCATTCTTACTCGAAATTGAAGGCTTCTCCTTGAGGCTGGTAGCTAACAAGTTTTCAGAGTTGCTTGATTGGCTCTCGGCAGCTGCAGGTCTCATCCAGATTTTTATGTGCCCCTCCCGACAGGAGGTAAGTACAGATTCTTGGGTAAATATCAAGCCTGACAGTGGTTCAGTATGAACACAGTGGGTAACAAGTGGAGAGATTTTTGGAACATCCAACATACTAGGAGCAGGTTGCAAAGTACCCAACGGGACAACATTGTCCCATTGGGATGACTGGCTTCCAACACTGTAAGTCGGGGATCCACATGAAGGACGTCGCAAGGGTACCACGATCTCATCCATTTCCAGGTCCCACAGAAGCAATTGTGTGTCCTAACCACCAAAAGATCTTTAGTAGTTTAGTGCATTCATGCTCATAACAGTTTGAAAAAATGCAAGCACATAAAAGGTTGGGAAATTTCAGGAATGAATATATTCATAACCCCCAGTTAATGATCATAAAGATCAAAGGCCATTTTTAAAATCTAACATCACACATACTACTGGACATGACATACTTCACATATATACACAAAGGATCCTCTTGTAATTTTCACATGACAAGCATGTCATGTAAAGAGTAGAGACCTTAAATAGGGAATCACAAATTTTGACAGGTTTCCACATTTAATGTCTTTACATTTATCTCTCTCTTTACATGACAACTTGCATGAGACCATTCATTCCCATATATAAATGTAAGGGGTTGGGCAGAGATGATCTTTTCAACAGGCATTCTCGCTCTGCAACATGTTCTACAGTAACCAATTTTCATAACAGACATAATCTGGGGAATTAGCAGTCATATCACTACATTGGAAAAGTTATATCAACAAAAATTATAAATATAACTAAATAAGGCCTTCCTCATTAATTTTTTTTGGCTTCAAATGATTTAGCTTTAATCAGGCATACAGTTGGTATTCCATAATCTACTAATACTAAATCCTTGGAAGCCTTCACAAAATCCATACTTGGAAACTGTGTCTAGCCTGAATTTTCCCACAAAGTTACTACATAGCCACAACTAGCAATCACCCAATTTCTACAATGAGATACAGAAATATATTTCAAAACTACTAATCATGTCATCCCGATATCCTGAGATAAAAGGAGAAAAAAATCAGGTGAAAAGCACAATCAGGAAGTAAACCCAGTGCTACAATAGGAGACAGAAAAATGTAATATGAAAACATCTGTCTGAGTACCTGACCAACGGAACCAAATCGATATCTAACTATCTCTCCATTGTCATCTGAATTAGGTGATGACCAATATGAATCAAAAGCCACTCCGCTGACCTGATCAAACATTAAAGCATCAAAATTACATATTAGCAACAGTCTAGTGCAGGGTTTGGGGAAGGTTGGTTGTAGACAACCTGTATGAATGAATGCAAGTTGAGAAGATATTTCTATGACTAGAAACCATGACCACCAAATGGCATCAAAACCTTATTAATTCAAACTAATGGTAGAAAAATTTTGTTTAGTCCATGCAACTTACCCATGAGTTATGTCCCTCACCCCATGCCACAACCTTGCGATCTTCCATACTCCAAACTTGAACTAAATCATCCTCTCCTCCAGTCAAAATATATTTTCCATCCACGCTGTTAAAGCAGACTTTTCATTATGAAATTGTATTTTTGAAGTATGATTTAAAGGAATGACAATGAACCGTACTTAAAATAGAGCAAGTCAGGCACTAATACTTTAGAAGCTCTAGAGTAAGAAATGAACTAAGGAAATAGGAGATATCGAAAGATGGCAATCCATTACTTAATTTACTAAAACCAAATATGCCTCACCTCCAAGCACAACATAACAAAGCACCATAATAACTTTTCCCACCACATATAAGTTGTTCTTTTAAGTAATCAAACACTCGTAAATAACCTGAATGAAGTAAAATAAATTCATGAAGATATTTTTGTATAGAAAATGAAATAATAAAGCACTACAATAATGTACTGGAGTTGTATACAAAATATATATATATATATATATATATATATATATATATACCATCTCGTCCAACAGTTGCTATGTAAGCCCCATCAGTTGAGAAAGAAATACTGTTGATTGAACCCTGACATATATGCCATCTGGCTATTGGATTACTCTGCAAAAGTCAATATTAAAAGGGAGAAAAAGTCATAAAGAAAATGAGAGAGAACGCAAGAAATTATCGATAACTGAAAAACCTATAATCCATCCTATACAAATTATGCTATGAATGTATTAAATACATGGCCAATCAAATGTTAAGCAATCAAATTTCAATTTGCAACAGTTTGGAAGAACTAAGTAATCATAAGTTCACAAGGCTAGAGAATAATACTCATAAATGTAAAATAGTTTCATATTGTCAACACCTTGCATAGTTTGAGCTGCGACACCACAGATATTATAGGACACTATAAATGGTAAAGTACATAGTTTGTAATGCAGATACATACACATATAAAAACACATGAACCAAACTTAGCAAATTATCATTAGTTTTGGAAAACATTCAAATGTGGAAATTTTATAATGCAATTATTCATATGCATATTTTGTTGAGAAATCAAAAGTCAAACTCGATACCTTATTGTAACGTGCATGGGAAACAGAGAATTGTGTTTGATCTTTGACAACTGGGAATGAAGAATCACCAGCACCATCTTTGTTCTGAAAGTGAAATGGAAATGAAATATATGCTCAAATCACCATAGTAGCAATTGAACCAAATTAGCACATCTCTTGATTATTGAGCCTTGCCTTTTCATATACATACAAATTCCCATCAGCATGAGCTACAACAAAGGCACTGTCACCTCCAGGCACCCAAGCAATACAAGTACAACGGCTGCTCATAGCAAAAAACCATTAACAAGAGCTAGTTTTCATAGTGTCCTTTACACAATAATCCAATGTATAAAGATCTTTAATGTAATTTGGACATTTTTAATAACAATTAACCAATTTAATAGCTTCTCTGCTACTCATTGCCATTTAACACCATTGAATTTCACTGCAAACCAACATTTACAAACTTTACCTAGGATGAATAATACAATACAGTAAAGCATGTGTACACAATTAAATTACTTTTTCCATCAATCAAGAATCTTCATCAAAGAGAGATTAGTTCACACCAATATGAATGACTAGCTCATGGACACATTACTACAGAAGCAGCATAAACATGAAGGCTGAAACAGACGGAAAACAGAAAATATGGAAAGAATAACCCTACCATGTGAACAGGAAGACAAAATATGCTTAAATTTAGCACATAGCCACAATAATGTAAAAAATAATGAAAAAGTTTATCAAGATTAAAGATAGCTTAAGCAAATGGCACTCATAGCTCCCCTGTACATCTAATGTATCTCTGAACAACTCCATATGATGATGGTCAACTCTTACTATCACAGATAACCCGTAACCATGCCCATTCTGAATTAGGACTGAATCAGCCCCAAATTTAGAGCTATCAGCATAATAACTCAGTATATACTTTACAGCCACTGCAACATGAATCAAATGAATAACCAGTGGCGGAGCTAGACCATAAGAAACACCACTAGTTGAGGGGGCCAAATTCATTAAAAATTTACAAGTAAACTATTAAAAATAAAGGGGGGATTGCAAGGGGACAATGCACTAGCCACCATTGTCAACCAAGGTTGTCAAATTTCCAAATTAACGTAAACTAAGAGTTTACAATCCTAAGTAGAGAAAACAAGTTAACAATATTAAAAACTTTTGCAGATAAATTTGGGTAAATTCTTTAAACTTGTATAAACTCTTACAAACCTTCGAGTCAATAAGCGACTTCGAAATCGAATGTAATCCTCCTCTCGCACCCCCTCCTCCGTCCCTCACCATTGACTCCAAAGTGTTAGTGTTTTACTATGACTCAAGATTTGAAGAAATCAACTTCTTTTTGAAATATTTTGACTTTAGGAACTTGTGTTTTTATAAAGCTATATATAATTTGATCTTTTATGTAGTTTAATCTTATTTAGTACTAATGTACAATATCACTTTATTATTGTAGTTTACCACTTAGCATTTTTATGGAGTTGAAATGTTGAACTATTGTTGTCTTAAAGTATAATGTTATGCATGTAAGTCATTAATAAGTTTTTTAATATTATTTTTATAATAACTAAACTCTTAACGAATTTATGAGTCAAGCCTACAAGTAGAGGCTACAAAACCTCCACGAATATACACAGACTCTCAAATTTGACAACCTTGTTATCACTAACAAATAAATCTGTAACCAGCAAAGTAAAATATTCAGGGTAGTCATACTAAATCAAATTTAGGGACGAATTTCAGAGTGATAGATGGCAGTTAACTAGTAAAGGTACAGAAATTATCAAAGTTTTGCCATCCAGGCATAATATTAACTCCATATTTGTGTCTTATGATATGTTCTAAAAAAACTCCCAAGATCACCCTCATCGAAAAAGGAATATCCCAAGAAAGCAAAGAATGCTTGCTGCATATAAGATTACTCTAAAGTCAAGAAGCCTCCTCTGAGACAGTAATATAAATTTACAAAAGCTAGCAAAATAGTTACGTCATGCAACAATTTTGAGAGAAGCTGACACTAGAAGCAAAAAACATCGCAAGGGATCAAATAATGCCTGTTATTGACAGAACCATCCTTGTTGTAATGCTGGGCCCCAACAAGCTTTTTACCAACATCCTGTAATTGTTGTCTCAGTGACACTGAGTAAACTACAATAATACACAGGAATAAATTGACATATTTTAATTTTTCCTTCCAAAATAGAAATTTAATTCTAGAGAAAGCTTCTTTTGTTTACCATCGCCAGTATTCATGCCAATGAGCAAATCATGCCCGTCCTTAGAATCCTGATCAAAGGCATGGCACGTAGGATTTGAATTACTGAAGTGGATAGACTTTATGGGGTCCTACAATGAACAAGAAACCTCTCATGAATAAATAAAATCAAAATACATACAATCCACCCACCCTAACCTCACCAGTATACCTTGTCTTGTGAATTCAAATCACTTATGAAAATCGCATCCCCAACATTGAAGATCAAGTAAGCTCCTTTCCCATCAAAATTTGAATTGGCTGCTGAATTACTTGAACTAGAGGCACCAATTGAACCAATCCGAGAGTTCCCCCCAAGGTTCTTGCCACTACCATTGCCTCCAACAAAACTAAGAGACCGGCCTCCATTGCTTCCTCCCCACAATCTCGCTGCTGCTGATCGTACCCCCATGCTGGCACTGAAACTCGAAGACAGCCCAGTCGGTGTTGAAGGCAACGGCTTGTCCTTGAGAAGTGCCAGAGTTACCTGATCATTCAACCCGACCAACAAGTTGCAAAAGATTAAGGCATGTTCGATTCCTTTTTCACATTTTTTTTTAATAATTGTTTTTAAAACAATTTTGCATTACTCAGCAACCAATTTCTTATAAAAATCTATTATATTTTGAAAATTGTTTCCAAAACAAATATTTTAAAAACCAAAAAACAGAAACAGCATATAGACATTTTCTCATCATTGCTCATGAGACAAACTTTTAGAAAACAAAAATGAGCTCTGGGGACAAACACTCTCAAATATGCCAAGTAAACAAGCAAGGCCTAAAACACATCACATTCTAATTCCACCAACAGTAGCCAAAGCCATCACACACATAGATAAATGAATGAATAAATGATTAAATAATTAAATGTGCCTACCAGGCCCTCACTGAAATTGATAGCTAGTTATATGACAATAAAATAACCAGACGAATTGAATAACACACTTCTACCAAAAGAACCTATAAATCGTCTAAATTCGCTAAAACAGTTCGAGAACCCTATGAATGAATACAAATTCACGAAGCAAAATGTAGAGACACATAACCAAAATCCAAAAAAAAAAAAAAAAGTTAGAATAGAATCGCGAAGGCGGAAGAAAAAGAAGAGAGGGACCTGAGAGACGGTTTTGCCATGCGCGTAGTGAAGAAGAGTGGAAGGGTAAGTCTTATCGCAGTGAAGCTTGTATCGGCCTTCAGGAGTCTTGAAATGCGTCTTCAAGGCAGTGGATTGCGCTTGTGCAGTATTCGATGAAGAAGACGTTGAAACCATGCCGTTGGCGTTGTTGATCATGCTCGCGATAAGGATCACGACATCACAGTGGTATGAGTGTGTGTATGAGAAAGTGCTAGGGTTTGGCTTTCAATTGACTTGAATGCTTTGGATAGGAGTTTGGGCCTTGGAAGGCTGGTGCACTATAATGACTTAGTTTGAGGTGGTGTTGTTGCAGTTGCGGATCAAAGGAGGAGAAGAAGAATAAAGGGAGTGGTTTGCATCAAATGTTTTGCGGCGTCATTTGATTTGACGCTAACACCCCTAGGTCAACGTAATTGACGGCCATGATTTTTAATCTTTTTCAAATTACCTACACCTTTTTTTTTCTTACTATACTAATTTGTGATTAAATAATAATAATCTATAATCTATAATTATTAATAAAGGAAATATTTTTTTAAATAATTATTTTTATCTCTTTTTTTTTCCTATTCAGTTATACAATAATTTTTTATGGATAAGAGATAAAATAAAATAAATATATATATATATATATATATAATTATTTGTGTAATTGTTTAATGCACGAAATATCTAGGTCCCACTAGTAATAATATAAAGTCTTTTCATATTATCATACATAATAATATAAAGCCTTTTTGTATTATCATACATACATTATTTTCTCTTTTTAAAAATAAAATAATATTATTATAAAAAATAATTATTTTTGTAAGACTATATTCATTTTATAAAGTAACTAACTAATATCAAGTTAAATAAAACTATTAAAAAAACAACCATATATGAATCTCGTGAGATTATATATCAAAATTTTAAATTTTAAATTATTAAATATATACATCGATAAAAATAATACTAATTTGAAGGATTAAACGTGGTTTTTACAATAAATTAGACATAAATATGTGTGATACGCGGATAAAAAAGAAATTATTTATGATGATTATAATGAAATAAAAATTAGAAAATAAAAAATAAGAGTTAGATTAAATAAAATGTAGAGAGATATAATATATAAAAAGTAAAGCAAAAATATTATAGAAAATAAAAATTTAAAAAAATTGCCATATAGACAAACATACTGACATGACAATATATAAAATTAGTTTTATAATAACGCGCCGATATAATAAAATATAATTCAGCTTTTATATATAAATAATAAATAGATAGATGCATATATAAAAAAAATTATTTATGATGATAATGATAAAATAAAAATTAGATAATAAAAAATAAGAGTTAAATTAAATAAAATATAGAGATATAATATGTAAAAAAAATAAAGGAAAAATATGATGAAAAGATAAAAATTTAGAAAATTTGTCACATAAATAAATATGCTGACATGGGAACATATAAAATTAATTTTATAATAACATTTTGATGTAATAAAATATAATTAACTTTTATATATAAATAGATAAATATATAAATAAATATTTGAAGTATATAATTGACAATTATTCAAAATGCTAGGATCATAAAAAGCTACTGTTCTAAAAATAATTATCTTGAAAAGTTGGAATAGATAAGCACATGTATGAAATAACATTTTTTTTTTAATAACAAGAGCTACAAATAAAAAGAACCAAACAGAAAAGACCAAATCTAATTACATACGGGAAATTGAATTCCCATGCTATCAGCTACCAGAGCCTGGACTTATAGTTATAACCCCTTTCTTTCATAATAATAAATAAATAAACAAGTTACCAATGTCTTAAAGATTACTAGAACAAAATGAAAATCTACAAGAATTAGCACCGAATGCTAGAGATGATTTTTTTTTTTCTTTTTCTCTAATATCTTAAAATTTTGTCTTAAAGTGATTACAAAAAATCTGTGACTGAAAGGTAAATAAAATATAGTTAAAAGATTATTTTTTAAGATTATTTTGGTTGTCCATTCTATTTATATTTTCATATTTTTCCTGTTTAATATAGAATTTATAAGATGAAATTTTTGGCTTTTCACGATAATAAAATTTAAAACACCATTAAAATCAAATTCTAAGACATTTGACATTTATGATGTATTTTAATGTATAAATAGTTATTTTACTGTGTATCTTTTTTAAATAAAGTCTTAAAATGGACTTTTTGTCCCAAATAAATTGGCTTTTTGACGAAATTAAAAAATATATCAAAAGAATTTATCAAAGTAGGTGGTTTCTGTCACGTGTAACACCCTAATTTTTACAAATTATATGAAGGCCCAAAGTCCAATAAGGATGATTTAGTAGCCTAGAACATTTCGTTTCCAAACTGGAATGGGCTGTTCCAAACTACTAAAAAGACTTATAAACTCTAGTTGGGAATGGGTTGTTCCCAACTGGAACGGGGAATTCCAAATCAACAAAAAGGCTTGTAACCCTAGTTGGGAACGGGTCATTTTGGTTTAAGAATGGACTGTTCCAAACATGGTCGTTATAGGTTAAAATGCAACCCTAGAACAGGTCGTTCTGGATATGTGAATTTTACACATGACGAATGAGTCCAGAACGGGCCGTTCCGGATTTGAAACGGGTCGTTCTAACTAGAGCTGTCAAACTGGGCTCAACCTAGTAAGCCAACCCGGCCCACCACGAGTTCGAGCCGGGTTGGGCCAAATTTTTTTTGAAAATTTCAATACGAGCCAATTTTGAACCCGGCTCACTAACAACCCGACTCACCCAGGTTGAACCCGTGGTGAGCCAGGCTGACCCACCAACCCGTTAAAAAAAACTTATGCTTCAACTTTTAGTTTATTGGGCCCAATTGCCCAAATGAGCATTAGGGTTTGAATTATATTTGAATTATTGGGCCCAAAAGAGTATTTGAGATGATTTTGAATTATATTTGTTTACATGAGATTATTTAGATTTTATTTGATTGTATTTAGAATTATCATTTAATTATGATTTTGGGCTTTAATTGTATATTAAAAAATTATATATTTTTTTAAATTAGGTGAGCCAACCCGTTTAACCCACCAAACCGTGGTGGGCCGGGCCGGGTTCAATTTTTTTGAGCTCACTAATAAATGAGTCGGGTTGGTTGGCCCACCAAATGCTCAACCCATAGTGGGTCGGGCCAGGTTACCCGTTTTGACAACTCTAGTTCTGACCACTCTTGATGCCTATAAATAGCACGCTCTCGCACTCCCAAAAGCACATTTTTCACTTCTAACTCCTTTTTCTTCTACACTCTCTAAAGACCGAGGGGAACCCAGAGGAGGAGACCAACCAGATCCTGCTTTAGTTTCAGCTACTGCTTATTAAGGTACGGGGAAAAGGGGAATTATTTGTATGCAAAGTTACATGAGAGAATTGGGTAGAGGAGGAATTCTATAGGATTATGGGTAATTTTATAATTATTTTTGCCTGAGGAATTGATGATCCCATTAAAGTTTGCATGTATTGAGGATTAGGAATTTGTAAATAATTTGTAAAAATGATGATTTCGGAGAGAGAACAAATTATAGAAAAGTGTCTGTGAGTTAGGTTTTGGAAAAATTGGAGGTTTTACTATTTGAGTCAAGATTCTATTAAATTGGTGATTCAATCGGGTTTTATATTAATTTATAAATGTTATTGTTATATTATTTGGTAGAAATTGATGATCTAGATGTGGAATTGAGTTATGGAATATGGTGTGATGTCTTCGCACAAATGTATACATTATATGATGGAAAAGCATGGGCCAAAGGCCCAACCACTAGAGCTATGGCCAGGAGATTACTTGAAGACTTGTCTGCTTCAGAGCTTAGTGGGCTCAATGGGCTTGGTGGGCCTAGGGTGCTTCTCACATGGACCTTACTTGAATAAACACCATGTTTTATTGCATTTTATTAGTATAGGAAATTACATTGATTTTGGTCTTGTATTTTGACCATAGATTAGGTTTTATGTTCTTGGGCTTATAGTTGGGCTTCTTAGGCTTTGGGCTTTTGACACCCAATATTAGGCTCATTCTTCTTCTTGTAATTTTTCCTATTCATTGTATTTCTTAGGCCAATGTATTTCGGTCAATAGATTAGGTTTATATGAAGTATACATTAATAGGTGCATTAGGGTTCATTTATATGACATTTAGAAGTAATTTGAATTGAATTTGAGTCACATGGAATGCATGGAGAGGTTCCGGCCATGTGAGCTTCAAATTCAATCCAAATCACTCCCAAATGACATTAAAATGAGGTACCTATCCGGATTTGTCTCTTGGTTAAGCCTGAGTTTGAATTTCAAATTCAAATTTGAAATTCAAACATGGCGCCAACTAAGCTACACGGATTAGCGCCAATTTTGACCTAGTTTTCACTTATAAATGTATCT